CTGCTTCTCCCTCTCCCACTCACCATGCTTGTGTTCCCTCTCTCACCGTGTCTCTCTCTCTCAAATAAAATCTCTAAAAAAAAAAAAAGAAAAGAAAGAAACTACACACTGGTTTAAACAGAGAAAGTGAAACATAAAGAATGTCAAGCTGGGCCCCTGGCTGACTCTTGATCTTAGGGTTATAATTTCGAGCCCTACTTTGGGCATGCAGGCTACTTTAAAAAAATTGTGTTTAAATTAAAAAAAAAGAAAAGAAATAACAGGTAGGAGAACTCAATATGTTATCCTAAAGCTGAGGGAGAGTATCCAAGGAGAGACACACTTGGAAGAGAGGCCATCTCCCCAACGCTGAGGTTCAGTTTTTTTTTTTTTTTTAGATTTTATTTATTTGAGAGGCAGAGATAGAAAGAGTGCAAGCAGCAGAATGAGAGGGAGAGGCAGGCTCCTCCTGAGCAGGTGGCCCAATGCAGGGCTCAGTCCCAGGACCCCCGAAGGCAGACGCTTTACCAACTGAGTCACCCAGGTGGCCCTGAGGTTCAGATCTTATTGGAAAAGACATAGTTGCAGTCTACCGGACAGCAGAGAAATTTGCTGGATTGTACAAGCCAGAGCTGGTGTGGTCTGGGGAGCAGGAGACAAGTGTAGGTGAGCCACAGCTGGTGGCCAGCTATGTGAGTGTACAGAGGGAGTTCGGGCACCAATATGGGGGGGAGAGAGGCGCCGTACTTGGGGCCTTGTCGGAGGCAATGGCTAGACATGGGCTGGGGCTGTGAGGTGACTGATGGAGCTAGCATTCTGGGTGCATGACTGTGGCAGGGTGCCACCAGATGCTTTGTCATCCACGCTGTGGCCATTGGAAACAGCAGGACACGCCCCCTTCTTCCTACAGTGTCCTGACAGCACCATCTACTGAGAAAACTTCACTGTGCTTAACACTCTCAAGAAGAAATGACTTAAAGGAATGCCAATCCATTACCAAAAGGTACTGAAGGATGAATTTGGAGCCGAGAGGCAAAAAATCAGTAATTGGCACAATAAATGTTAGGTGGCTGGCTGGCTGAAGTGGTCCCGGGTTGGGAGAATTTACTCTTTCCACACCTCCCAAAGCCTACCTGCGCTTTCCATAAAATTCAAGTTGAAACGTACCAATTTTTTTTTTCTTTTGAGCATAAAGTGTTTGTTGCCGAACCTTTCGCCAAGGTTCCAACTGGATGGCTGCAGCTTAAGTTGGGCTAGTGGCCGCCGGCCAGGAAAGGGAAAGGGAGGAGGGGAGAAGTAGAAGGAGTGCCCCTGGGCCTGGGGCCTGGCGCTGCGAGATGCTGAGGACCAGGCCGCAGGTGGGGACCAGGCCGCAGATGAGCCCCAGTCCTCCAGCTCTGGCTCTCCGTTCCGGGGCTTTCTTACGCCATCCTATCACCATGGAGAACTCCTTGAGTGTCCACTCCCAGAGTGACCCCAACGAATCGCCTCGTATCAGCTCTGTGTCCTGGATCCCGGCCCTGGTTGCGGCGGCACAGGGGCGACCACGGTCGCGCCAAGCGCCCACCTTCCTCCTTCGTGTCGCCGCCCCGCTCCTTCCGTGACAGCTGTCCGCAGCGAGCACCCAGCACGCAGGTTTCCGGCCTGAGCCTCTCCAGCCCCAGGCGTGGCCCTGCGGCCCCCACCGCCCACTTCCTCCGCCCTTCCCCCAGCCCTCCCCTGCGGCGTGGCTGGAGGCCCGCAGGCGCCCGGGAAACCGCAGACCCGGCGGGAGGCGGGGCTTCGGCCGCGCGCTCACTGCGCAGGCGCGGACGGCCGCAAACCCGTCGTCTGTATTGCGTTTTGTTCAAGATCCTCAAAACGATTTCTGGTTCTAGTGCAGATCATAACCCAGCAAACCTTCCAATGCAGGTATTTCTCACCTGCCTTATTATGAAGTGGATCTAACTACCTTTCCTGGATTACTCTCGGCTTAGTGACTTAATTGATAAAACTGAATCATGTGAGTTACATGAGATATATTTCAGAAATTAAATCCAAATCTCATTTTTTTTAAATGAGGAAGTTGAGGCCAATGAATGAATTGGAAAAACTGGAGCTGGCATGGTACCTCTGTCTCTTTATACTCAAAACTGGAATAAAGTAGCCAATAAGGTGTAAGGGTGCCAGTTTCTACATATATTTACCAAAATATTGTATTAAAAGGTGTTTAATCTTTTTTTAAAAAAAAAGATTTTATGTAGTTTTTAAGGAGAGAGAGAGAAAGCACAAGCAGGGGGAGTGGCAGGCAGAGGGAGAAGCAGGCTTCCCGCTGAGCAGGGAGCCCGATGTGGGACTGGATCCCAGGACCCTGGGATCATGACCTGAGCCGAAGGCAGCCGCTTAACCGACTGAGCCACCCAGGCGTCCCAAAGGTGTTTAATTTTTTTTTTTTAAGATTTTATTTATTTATTTGAGAAGAGAGAGCATGCGCGGGGAAAGGGGCAGAGGGAGAGGGAGAAGCAGGCTCCTGCTGGGGGTGGGCGGCGGCGGGGCCATGGCTGCTCCACCCCAGGACCCTGGGATCATGACCTGGGCTGAAGGCAGACCCCTGACTCACTTAGCCACTCAGGCACCCCAACAAGTATTTAATCTTTATCAATCTGAAGTGAGAAAGGGATCCTATACTTCTAAGTTTATATTGTATTATGACATTGAGCATTGTTTTTTGCATGTTAGGAGCTCTTTGCATTTCCTTATCTGTAAAGCGTTTGTATGTATCAGAGGAAAACTATTTTGAAAAGAACATGTTTTGACGAAGAAACAAGACAAAATAAATAAATGTAGAGTTTATAAGTAAAATAGTTACCATATGGGGCGCCTGGATAGCTCAGTCGTGAAAGCCTGCCTTCGGCCCAGGTCCTGATCCCAGGGTCCTGGGATCGAGCCCCGTCTGCCTCCCTGCTCAGCGGGAAGTCTGCTTCTCCCTCTCCCACTCCCCGTGCTTATGTTCCCTCTCTCACTGTGTCTCTCTCCGTCAAATAAATAAATAAAGTTAAAAAAAAGAAAAGAGTCAGATGCTTAACCCATTGAGTCACCCAGGCGCCCTGTATTCTACTACTTTAGATACCTCTTACAAGTAGAATCATACAGTATTTGTCTTTTTGTGCCTGGCTTATGTCACTTAGCATAATGTCCTGAGTTCATCCGTGATGTAGGATATGATAGGATTCCCTTCCTTTTTAAGGCTGAATAATATTCCCTCGGATATATATACCACATTCTGTTTATCTCTTGAGCCATTGATGGATATTTGGGTTCCTTCCGCTTATTGGCTTTTGTGAATAGTGCTGCTAATGAACATGGGTATGCAAAAATCTCTTCAAGAACCTGTTTTCAGTTCTTTTGGATATATATCATAACTGGGATTGCTGGATCATATACTGTTGCATTTTAAAATTTTGGGGGAACCTCCATACTATTTTTCCATAGTGGTTATACTATTTTACAAGCCCACAAACAAAATTAAAAACTTTTGTGCTTCAAAGCACATTATCAAGAAAGTGAAAAAACAACGTACAGAATGGGATTTGCAAATCATAAATCTGGTAAGAGATTCCTATCTGGACTGTTTAAAGAACTCTTATAATGCAATAAAAGTGCTAAAAAATTAAAACTCAAGTGATCCAATTAAAACACAGGCAAACACTTCAATAAACATTTCATTAAAGACGATATACAAATCGCCAATAAGCACAGGGCGCCTGGGTGGCTCAGTTGGTTGAGCAACTGCCTTCGGCTCAGGTCATGATCCTAGAGTCCCGGGATCGAGTCCCGCATCGGGCTCCCTGCTCAACGGCGAGTCTGTTTCTCCCTCTGACCCTCCCCCGTCTCGTGCTCTCTCTTTCTGATTCTCTCTCTCAAATAAATCAATAAAATCTTAAAAAAAAAAGAAATGGCCAATAAGCACATAAAAAGAAATTCAGCATCATTAATCCTTAGGGAAATACAAATCAAATAT